ACAAGTATTCTCTGGCGGGCGCCGGCGCTCAGAAATTTAATAAAACACGCAACGCTTGACTGGCCTTTCTAATTACAATCCATCAATTCTGCGGCAGGACAGCGCTTCTAAAGAGACGTATTAAATGAGAAACTCCCGAACGCAAATCTATCATCTCTTCAATTACGCGGCCCTTTCACTGCTCTCTGAGAGCCCCGTGCCGCTGGCGTCAAGGACAGAGTTGTCCGGTCGCGGTAAGGGGGAGGGGGGTGTGTGCGTGCGTGTGTGTACTGCGTCTGTGTGTGTGTGTATGTGTGTATGTGTGTGTGTACTGCGTCTGTGTGTGTGTACTGCGTCTGTGTGTGTGTGTGTACTGCGTCTGTGTGTGTCTGTGTGTAGCGCGTCTGTGTGTGTGTACTGTGTTTGTGTGTGTGTGTACTGCGTCTGTGTGTGTGTACTGTGTGTGTGTACTGCGTCTGTGTGTCTGTGTGTAGCGCGTCTGTGTGTGTGTACTGTGTGTGTGTGTACTGCGTCTGTGTGTGTGTACTGTGTGGGTGTACTGCGTTTGTGTGTGTCTGTGTGTAGCGCGTCTGTGTGTGTGTACTGCGTCTGTGTGTCTCTGTGTGTACTGCGTCTGCATGCATGTGTACTGCGTCGGTGTGTGTCTGCGAGTGGGTGGATTGGGTCAGCGTGCTGAATTACGAACCTGGCCACCCGAGTGACGATTATTTGAACCGATTCTGGGCCTCCTCTTGGTCAACTCAGCCTAAAATGAGCACCTGGTGAGGTGTGTAAACATTGCCACTGGGGAGACAAAGGCGGCCGGGCGTGGTGCTGCCCATCCACCCCCTCGTGTGCCGCGGGGACCTTCAAAGGTGCTCGCCAACAGCGCTTGCCCCAACAGTCTGTTAAGCCTATACGGGGGACCTTTGTCTTTACGTCTCTGTAGGAGGAGCTCCCAGATTCACGAGTCACTGGTGTCGCGCACAAGGACGCGGAAGAAACGGAATCAATTTGTTTGGACTCACGATGGGAGGGGGCCGCACGTGATCCGGCTGATTGATGAGCCGGCTGATTGATTAATTATATTATTTATTTATCAGCGATCATTGAAGAGTCACGGCGCAACCGGCCCCGTCCATGTCTGGAAAAAGCGCGGGGTGGGTGGACGGGGGGGTGCAATGGAGAAGAAATGGGGGGGGGGGTTGCAAGTGCGGGGTGGGGGGCTGTCGTGAGAGCCGCTGCCACGCCATGAGTAATCGTCTGTTTGTCCCAACACTCGGAGAAAGGTTGAACTCAAAGCGTTCACTTTTCCGAGGCCCCGCGTGCGAATTTAATTACGGGAGCCGCGCCACCCCTCCCCTCACCTCCTCTCCCACCCCCACCCCCGCTCCTCTCCCCCCCCCACCAGCATCTCCACTCTGTCTCGATCTATCCATCTCTCTCCCCGTGCCCCCCCCCCCCCCCATCTTTGTCACGTCGCTCCCTCCGATCTCTCCCCCCGTGTGCGTCCAGCGACAGGCCACGCGACATCTGCGGGACTGTGAACAGGGCGCTTACCACGAGCCGCTCGCTCTGTCGCCCCCAGCGTCACACCGACCGGGAGGCGAATGACTTGGTCCACTGACGATGATGACGACGTGGACTGTGCGCGCGCGTGTGAGTGATTAGCGGGATGTCGGAGCGTTATGCTGACCCTGTCGGAATGTCATTTTCTTCTCCTAAACACGATATCGATCGGACAAAAGCTCGGAATGCATATCAATGGCACAAGCAATGTTGAGGGTTTCAGGGTGGGGAGAGGTGGTGCCGGGGCTGGCCTCCACCGCCCCCCCCCAACTTCTCGTTCGTGGTGTCTGCGCTCTCACGTGGTAGAGCGGCATCTGTATTGCCACAGACTCTACAGACTGCCTGCTAAATCTCAGCTTCATAGTCCTTCTCAGAAAGTATACATCGATCAGTTACGATTCTCCGTATGAATCACGCCAAGTTAACGTTTCGGGCAATGGCTCTCTATCAGATGGTCTTCAACATTCGTCTTGTATCTGCTGTATATATTTGTTTTGCGGCGATGTTAAAGTCAGACGTGAGTGCCCTGTGTTAGTGGGGAGCGGTGGCGCAATGGTTAGCAAACCGCACTACGAACCAGGCGACCCAAGTTCAACTCGCGCTCACGACCAATGATGGTGGAGAAAATGTGAACCGGTTCTGAGCGGCGCCTTAGATCGACTCAGCCATAGCTGAGTGCCTGGTGCCGTGGGTAGGAAACATCAGCACTGGGGATACAAAGGCGGTCGGGCGTAGTGTGTGCCATTTCGGCCTTCATAGGTGCTACTCGCTAACAACACTTACCCGAAGCAGCATGTTGAAGGCTATACGGGGGATCTTTGTTTGTGCTCGTTCGTGTACTTATTAACTCCCAACGAGCCGAGACACCTTACAACAGCGCGAACTATTCGCCCATAACACCGTGGCCTGAAACAAGCAATGTACAATAGGCGACGTTTCGGGAAATAGCCCACCGTCATAGCACTTCGATCAGCACACACGGACCAATCACAGGAGGCGTCTCTCTGTATCAATTGACACGCACGATATGTCAACGATGGCACACACACACACAGACAAACACTCCATCGCCCGTAACGTTACGAAGACTGCCATGGGAAAGGACTGTCAGCGAGCACCTATTATAAATAGCAGGCACGGCACATCAGGAGCCGGTCTGGCTGTTGTCTCTCCCAACGCTGCTTTTTCTTCTACTTCTTTCAAATGGTACCAGAAAACGAATTCAAGGCTGAGCCGACCTTGGGGAGGGTGGGGAGCGCGGGGGGTGACGGGATATGTCCAGGTAGCACGTACCACTGGTATTAGTCCGGGGCCGGGACTCGGACCCAGGTCTCCGCAGCCACACGGTGATTCATCTTGCGGCTTTCTTCTTCTTCAAAAACAAATATTCACTCAATATCTCTGACTATGAAAATGGAGCATTGCCACAAACGTCGCCTATAGATACATTTGTTATATTTATTCTTGGGCTACGGTATCATTATGAGTATTGACTCGAGGCGGTATTTGTTGTTATTGTTGGCTGTGCTTGTGTGCTACTGCCAAGGCAGTAGCAGCATCGCAATGTTTTGCTTCAATTGCGTTTTTTGCATTTTACTCTATTCCCGAAAATAAACACAATAATAAAAATAGTCATTAGAAATATTTTAGTTTTTCACGTGGAGGAACAGATACGGAATAAAGTCGGTTGTCTGCTGATCGATTTGGTGTGACACATTCTCCAGAAAGCCGCTAATTGTTATTTTGTGTTGCGTATCATGGAGTTGTCCGGCCAACTCGGACCGTTGTCTAACAGAGAGGGCCCTTGCCTATCCACATCTGACAGTTCAACCAACATTGGTCCAAGCGAGAGCCTGCTGATGAGAAAGTGAATGTCGCAAAACCGGCCCACAGTTGTGCTTGAATTAGAACGAATCCTGTTGAAAATACCACTCCCAGAAGGAAGCGGAGTGCGACTGATGGGATGTGTAAAACAATAGTTTTGTTTGCGTATCGTGGGGAGTGATAGATGGGAAGGAGTCGTTGTGTCTGCTTGTGTTCGTTGTGTCTGCTTGTGTTCATTGTGCCGCGAACACAAACGGCTCGACGGGCCGAGTCCGCGACGCGCCCCACAGCGAGAGGCAGGGTCGTGGCCCTCGAGGGCCGAACACCGCGACCCCATCTACCCCGCTCAGCAGCCCCCCCCCCGCAGGTCCTGCAGGATCCCTCCTCCCCTCGCTCTCTTCTCCCCGCTCGCTGCACCCCCGCGGGACGGGCGGTCTAATTAGGAGGCGCGCGAGCGGCGGGCATGCTGAGAGCGAGCTGAGAGCGAGCTGAGAGCGAGCATCCCATAACGAAGCTCTAATTCATTTGGGCGTGTTATTTTTAAATTACGTGCAATGCTCCTGACATTTAGATTAATTTGATTGTCTGAGTCTCCCACGACACGTCCGTGCAGCTAAACACTCCCGCTCCTCACAAACATCCATCTCATCACCCCCGCCCACCCTCACCTCACCACCCTCCCCCAACATCACTCCCTCCCCCACCGCCTCCCTCGCTCAGCGCTGACAAGCAGATGAGCTACAGACTCCCCCTCCCCTACACGGGAGAGTAACTTCACCGCGGATATTATGTGTACATCGCCACCATAATCGCCCTCATAATAAATACTCCTCTGTGTGCGACTGCGGCGACATACTCCCAAATCATGGACCACAGAACTTCGCACCGCCCCACATATACCCGTGAAAGCGGTGGGTGAGTGAGTGGGTGAGTGAGTGGGTGAGTGAGTGGGTGAGTGAGTGGGTGAGTGAGTGGGTGAGTGAGTGGGTGAGTGAGTGACTATGCGCGTGAGTGGGTGGGTGGGTGCGTAGGTGGGTGAGTGAGTGGTTGATTGAATGGGTGGGTGAGAGGTTGAGTGAGTGGGTGAGTTAGTGGGTAGGACAGTGAGTGGGTGGATGAGTGGGTGAGTGAATAAGTAGGTGGGTGAGTGAGTAAGTAGGTAGGTGAGTGAGTGGTTGAATGAATGGGTGGGTGGGTGAGAGGCTGTGTGAGTGGGTGAGTTAGTGGGTAGGACAGTGAGTGGGTGGATGAGTGTGTGAGTGAGTAAGTAGGTGGGTGAGTGAGTGAGTAGGTGGGTGAGTGAGTAAGTGGGTGGGTGAGTGGGTGAGTGAGTGTATCTGCAACTCACCAACTCTCAGAGCAATTGAACGGCCAAATCACGCAGAACGTATTCTGCAAGAGCTGCTCTTCTGTGGCCGCACGAAATTAATTAGTCAAACAACCACCATCATGCGAGATCAAGGACTCCGCCAAACTGGGAAAGCAGTGAAATGCAAACCATGAGGCGTGCAATACCACTGACGACTGCTCAACAAAACACGCGGTGGAGCGAGCGAGCGAGCCAGCTGCTACCCTGGATGCTGCTGCGGAATGGCCACATCTTCCTCGTCAGCTCCTTCCACGCTGACGTCTCACGGAGCGCGCGCGCGCCGCGGAGCCCGAGCGGAACCGAGAGGAGCGCGCAGATGAACGCGCGGCGCGCGTTCCCGTGCACGGACGGACTGCGACTCCGGTGCGGCTTAGGGGGGGCATGGGAGGCGGGGGGGGGGTGAGGCGGAAGGCGGAGGAGGTATGACGAATTGGGGAACCGAATTTCAACTGATCCGATGGCGGGAGGTAGCGAAGACCCCCCCCCCATTCACGAACTCTTTGTAGCGACCCCGCGTGACCCCCCCCCCCTCAGAGCTGGTGAATTGAACCGTGATACACGCGCTAATGCTCTATCACGCGCTCCTGTGAATCATGATAGAATGGATGCATGAAAGAGAGGATAAAGGAATGAATGATCGAATGAATGAATTAGCGAATAGATGGATTAGTGAATGAGTGAGTGAATACGGATGACTGTGGCGTTTGTTGCGTGAGCGTCTCACGGCCGCTATCAGTGGTGCCGCTGTGACAATGAAAGGGGTCTGGGTTTGGGGGGGGGGGGTCACAGTGGGAGGGGTGCGGGCGGACAGCCGCGTGTGTGTCGGGTCGAGGGGGCTGGGGACGTCCCGGGGCCCTCGCGACGTGCAAATGTGTCGCCAATTAACGGCGCTGTCGCCAATTAACCCGCGAGCAGTCGCGCCTGTTTGCTCATCAAAGCGACGTTCAAAACATCTCGGAGGCGTCGCGTTGAGAGACAAAGGCGCGCGTGTTTCCGCTACGAGAAGGCGCGCGGCTTGCTCTCGGGCAAGGCGCGCTTCAGTGACGGAGCCCTTCCCCATCCTCCTCCTGCTCCTGCTCCCATCCAGCACAAGGTTGACCCCCTCCGCCCCCCATAGCCCCCACAGCCCCTCCCGTCCACCCCCACCTCGCAATAGCGCCCGAGCCCCCCTCCCCCCCGGGTCGCCGATGGAGGCGCGCGGGACGCGCAGCCGAAGGCGCGGAGAAAATAAAAGGCGACCCGCGATGAACAACAACGCGGCAGCCAATCAGAGTCGCTCGTGGAGGCACACGGGTGGTGTGCGGGGGGGGGGGGTAATGGGCGCGACAGAACCAAGTATGGGGAGCAAGGGGACCGCGGCCAGAGTTGGCGCTCGGGGTACGGGGGCTGGAGTTGCCGATTGGTTGCAGAATTCTTTTTCTGAACTCCAGACATGACCAACACCCCCCCCCCCTACACCTTGCCCTGCCCACCAAACCCGCGATGGCCCCCGACTCCTTCATCCCATGCGCCCTCCCCGCTTCTCCCATCCACAGCCCCTCCACCCGTAGCTCCCTCCTGTGCCTCGCGTCCGAATTCTCAGCAGTGCTGCACAGACCACGCGTCGAACCTGCCCCGAGCGGGTATCATTCGCAGTCTATGGGGGGCCCAATAAGCATGACAAAGTAATACAATCTTGACATGAAAGGTGCTGAGTCTCAAGACTAATTTACAGGCGAGTCCTGCCCTGGGATGAGGGCCCCGATGATTGTTTAATGAGTTGGGGCTGTTCTTGCTTCGTGTGGGAGGTGAGCGGAGCACCCGGAGAAAACCGGCCACGCGTTCGATGGTGGATGAAACAAATCAAATGTCCGCACAGATAGGTGCGTGAGCCCGCTCGCTCGACTGGCCACCGCATGGCCACTCACCCAGCCCCAGCGCGTTTGGGAGTTTCAAAATCTCTACATGATCCACCAACCCCCCATCTCACGCTGCATCCTCCACCCTCGCACACACCTCTCACACCCCCAACCCACACACCTCCCACACGCACACACACACACCTCTCACACCCCCAACCCACACACCTCCCACACGCACACACACACACACCTCTCACACCCCCAACCCACACACCTCCCACACGCACACACACACACACCTCTCACACCCCCAACCCACACACCTCCCACACGCACACACACACCTTTCACACCCCCAACCCACACACCTCCCACACGCACACACACACACACCTCTCAGACCCCAACCCACACACCTCCCGCACGCACACACACACCTCTCACACCCCCAACCCACACACCTCCCGCACGCACACACACACCTCTCACACCCCCAACCCACACACCTCCCGCACGCACACACACACACACAGACCTCTCACACCCCCAACCCACACACCTCCCGCACGCACACACGCACACAGACCTCTCACACCCCAACCCACACACCTCCCGCACGCACACACACACCTCTCACACCCCCAACCCACACACCTCCCACACGCACACACACCCCGAACGCACCCTCGCCATATACACAGCCTCACACAAATACAAAGATCCTCCGTATAACCTTAACTGACTGTTGGGGCAAGTGCTGTTAGCGAGCACCTATGAAGGCTAGCACGGCACACGAGGGGGTGAGTGGCCAGTACCACGCCCGGCCGCCTTTGTCTCCCTAGTGGCGATGTTTATAAATCCCACCAGCTATTAATTTGTGGCTAAGTCAACCTAGTAGAGGCCCAGGACTGGTTCAAATCATAGTCACTGGCGTTGGTCGTGAGCGGGAATCGAACTCGCTTCGCCGGATTCATAGCGCAGCATCCCAACCGCTGCGCCACCGCTCCCCCCACGCACACACAGCTCTCGCCCCTACTACACCGCGCACGTACCCTCGGCGCACGCACACCCCACCACGCACACCCCACCACGCACACCCCACCACGCACAGCCCACCACGCAGAGCCCGAGCCCCGTCCGTCACCTGGCGCTCGTGCAGTCGCGGTAGAGGGTCTCGAAGTCGCGGCGCGACAGCAGCTTGCAGCGGTTCACGCCGGGCTGGATGGCTCCGAGTCCGCGCAGCACCCGCACCTGCTCCACGTTGCACACGAGCGGCGCGATGTGCAGGCGCTTGAGCTTCGTGTAGACGGTGTGCAGCCCCCCCACCAGCGTCTTGAGGAAGAGCTCGAACGCCTGCGGCAGGCACAGCATCTCCTGGCCGTGCACCGTGAAGGCGGCCACGCGCGCCCCGTGCACCTCCACCAGGCGACACTCGTTGTGCGCCGGGGTGTTCTCCACGGGAGACGGAGACGCGTAGCCGCTGCGGGGCTCGGCGCGGGGCGGGCACGACGCCCCCAGGGGCCCGAGGGGACCCAGGGGACCCAGGGAACCGAGCGGTCCCGTGGGGCACGCGGGCCCCAGTTCCAAGCGCAGCACTGGGGCGTGCGCGGCGCGCGGCGCGGGGCTGCATCCGCTCTGGGGCTCCAGGCGCGGCGGGCCCTCGCTGCCCTCTCTGCCCTCGCTGCCCTCTCTGCCCTCGCCGCTCTCGCCGCCGCCGCCGCCGCACGGGACCTCGGGCCCTCCAGGGCTGCTCGCGCCGCTGCCGCTGCTGCTGTTGCTGCTGCAACCACCGCCGCTGCTGTCATCGCCACATCCTCTTCCGCCACCGCCGCCGCCGCCGCTGCCGCACGACGCTGCTGCTGCTGCTGCTGCTGCTGCTGCTGCTGCGGGGGCCAGGAGCGACGGGCGAGACCCGTCCGCGCTGCTCCCCGGAGAGACGACGAGGGAGCGCGTCGGCGACGCGGCGGAGGCGACGGCGATGAGCGGCGGCGCTCCGGCCCCGGCCACGACGGCTCCTGCCAAGGCCACGGCCAACTCGCGCGCCTCCATGAGCCTCTTCCTCTGCCGGGCGCTTCTCACCTCATGCCCGCGTCGCGATCCGCTCGGCGGGCCGCGCTGGCGTCAGTGTCCGCGCGGCCGCGCTGCCGCCCGTGTTTGTCTCCCCGCGCGCGGCCGGGCGGGGCGGGGCGATGCTTATCGCGCGCCCTCTCCCGGGACGGAAATAAACACGCGCGCCGCGCTCTCCGCGCCGCGTTCCCCCTGCTTCCCCGGCCCGCGTAATTGACTTGTCCTGGATATTTCCGGCACCAAACAATGGGCGAAACCACGGACGCGACGAGATGCGGCGGGGCGCCCGGGGGGCCCAGATTCCGCAGCTCCTGCTGCCGTTGTTGCCCCCCCAAACTCCTGCCTCGTGCCGCGACTCCGCGTGCGCGACCAGCGTCGGCTCCGTGCACCTGCGGGAGCCGCGGAGCTCGGAGCCCGAGGGCGCCGCGGGAGAGTGAGCGGCGGGTGGCGGCGCGTGGCCGCGTCGCCCCCCCCCCCACCGCTCGGCGCTGCGCGTTCCTGACCAAAAATAGCGCGGGCCGCGCGGCCGTCCCGCGCTCTCGCGAGCGGAGTGACCGCCCCGAGTGACCGCTCCAGGCCGGGCGCTGTCGCGCGCGTTGTGTACCGCTCAGGGGGGCGAGTGCCCCCACCACCCACTCCCTTCCACCTGCCCCCCCCCCGTACGGCCTGCGGGCAGGTGCGCGCGTGAGAACGATGATTGTATTGTTAAGGAGGAGGCGAATATACGTGGCCACAGCCCACGTCGAGGATATGCATTGAGAGGACACTGCTTCGGCCTCTTACTTGAGCAATGCCACCCCCTCAACCCCCTCAAACTAAAACCGTGAGGAAGCAATTACCCCTCGCTGTCTGTGCGCCCAGACTCGCGTTGCGAGTGGCACCTATACAGATCATAACGAGGGCCCTGGAATTAGCTGCCAGTCTCAATTCCAACGACAAGACAAACAGTGTGAGACACGTGGTATTTGTCATTCGGTCCACCCCGTGGTGTCACCACCAAGAATCTCGCCCAGACCCGGAAGAACGCGACTGCTGTCCGAACCAAGTCCAAGTGGAACAACGCAGACGTCCAGGACAAACACCTTTTTATTCCAGACCAACACATAATCGCACCTCTTCCTGGCTTTGATATTTATCCTCCTCGAAGTCACTGGTGTAGCCATCACGACATCAACGGCAGACCGATGCCCACATCTCCATGAATGAAAACTTAAAGTCACAAGCCACAGTTGTTCGATTGTCGCCATGCAACTCAAACTAAGGACCGCAACAGCAACCCCGCTGTAGTCTGCGCTCCTTCGACGGAGGAGAAACAGCAAAACTACACTGACCCCCCTCTCGTGGTGACCAGCAGCCCTCAGGCTCGCGTGGCCACGCGGGTCACATTTATTGCGTGAGTCTGAGAAATACTTGTGAATGCCCCCTGCCTCCTCCTTCTCCTCCTCGCCCTTCTCGCCGTGCACATGGGGACCTGAGTCTCGCCGCCAGGTCCCAGGCGCCCCCCGTCCGCCTCTGTGGAGGTGACACGCGCCGAGCTCCGCGCGTCCACGCCGCGCCCTCTGCCGTGCCGAGGTCGCCGCGCGTCACTCGCGTCCGCCGCGAAGACGGAGCGAGGAGATCGCCTCGTGTGTTCGTGTGAGAGAGCGAGAGCGATTTCGTTGCTTCGTCTACTGGGAGGATGTCCTCTCGGGCGCGTTCTGTTCTCTGGCTGCCACTCCGTTATTAATCTCGACCATCGTCCATCATCTCTCCGAGCCACGAGGCGGTGCTGCCTCTAAACCCGTTTGCTGTTTTTAGCAGTTTGAATGACATCAGTTTGACTTGTGACAGAACTATGAACTATTAACATACCCCCCATAACCGTCACCAATTATATTAAAGATTAAACTGATGGTATTCCATTCCTGCGATGGATTGCAGCAACCAGTGCAGCAGCGGAATGCCAATGTCCAAGCGTGCACGTGGCCACGAGGAGATGGCTTCAGCAGAGAGTCCGTTCGTGTCGTTCTCCTACTCCTCCTCCGCTGCAGGAGCGCTGACTCCAGTGGGCTGACTGCACGGTCCGTGGTGTGGGTTGCATGGCCACAGTCGCAGTGGCCTGCGTCTTTAACTTCCCACAATTGGCGCGTGTGCGGAGTGGGTTATTGCATCGCATGGACAGTTGAGAGAAGGCAACCGCTTGGGGAGACCTTCATCCAGCAGTCGATAGATCATGGCGTATTAACGCCCTCTATCTTAGGAGGGCGGGAGGGGGGGCTGTGAGCTCATCACCTTCACCTAGAGCTCGTGGAGGCCGCTGGATGGCGCGCGTCGCTTGAGGGGAGATCCTGGGGACCTCCCGGACCTCGAGCCTGGGCGAGCTCTCTCTACCCCCCCGCCCCCCGGTATCGCGCCCCGCCACGCTGCTGCTATCGCCGAGTCTGCATCTACACAAAGCCGCAAGGTGCACGACTCGGCCGACACGTTTTATTGATAACACCTTTATTGTTGTTGTTGTTGTTATTCGAATGGGAAATCAAGCGGTAAAAATTTACGCAAACAGAAAAAAATCCACACGAGTTTTTGAGGCTTTGTCTTCGCTACCTCCTCCTCCTCCTCTTCACCTCGAAACGAGAGGAGAGGCGCGCGTAGGACCCGCTCCGCTCTCACTCCCATCCCGCGCAGCACACACACACAGGCAGCATACACACGCACACGCAGCACACACACACAGGCAGCACACACACAGGCAGCACATACACGCAGTACACACAGGCAGCACACATATACACGCAGCACACACACACGCAGCACACGCAGCACACACACACAGGCAGCATACACACGCACACGCAGCACACACACACACGCAGCACACACACACGCAGCACACACACGCAGTACACACAGGCAGCACACATATACACGCAGCACACACACACGCAGCACACGCAGCACACACACACAGGCACCACACACACGCAGCACAAACACACGCAGCACACACACAGGCAGCACACACACACACGCAGCACACACAGCACATATACATGCGTGCGTACACACGCAGCATACACACAGACAGCGTACACACACACACGCAGGTAAACAAACACGCAACATACGCAGCGAACGCATACACACAGCACATATACACGCAGCACACACACATGCAGCGTACACGCACGCGCACATAAACACGCGCACACGTAAACACACACACACGAGTGCGCGCGCACATGGCCACATACACACGCGTGCAAACACACACACGAACACGCGCGTAGCATAGACAAATAATAATAACAACAACACTACTAATAAATACTCCCGAGGCGCGGGTTCGCAGGTGCGGGGCGCGAGGAGAACGCGAGACGAGGGAGACAGAGAGAGTGAGAGACGGGGGATCCGTGGTGAGCAGCAGCACCACCTGCAACACCTCCAGCACCAGCAGCAGCACCACCAGCACTACCAGGACCACCACCAGCACCACCAGCCACATCAGCACCACCAGCACCACCAGCCACATCAGCACCACCAGGACCACCACCAGCACCACCAGCCACACCAGCACTACCAGGACCACCACCAGCACCACCAGCCACATCAGCACCACCAGGACCACCAGCACTACCAGCCACATCAGCACCACCAGCACCCCCAGCCACACCAGCACTACCAGCACCACCAGCACTACCAGCCACATCAGCACCACCACCAGCACCACCAGCACCACCAGCACCTCCAGCACTACCCGCATCAGCAGCACTACCACCAGCACCACCAGCACCTCCAGCACTACCCGCACTACCCGCATCAGCACCACCAGCACCTCCAGCACTACCCGCACTACCAGTATCAGCACCACCAGCACCACCAGCACTACCAGTATCAGCAGCACCAGCAGTGCACCAGCAGTGTACGAACTCGGGTCGCCGATTCCCGCTCACTGCCAACACCAGTGACGATTATCTGAACTGTTTCTGAGCTTCCCCTATGTCGACTCAACGTCAAATGAGTACCTGGTGCCGTGTGTAAACAGCACCACTGGGGAGACAAAGGCGGCCGGGCGTGGTGTTGGCCACCCATGTCCTCGTGTGCCGTGCCGGTCTTCATAGGTGCTTGCTAACAGCACTTGCCCCAAAAATTATGTTAAAGGATGCATGGAGCATCTTTGTCTTTGTGTGTGGGAGTGTGACCGTGTGTTTACAAAGCGAAGCGGTGGTGCAGTAGTTACCGCACTGCGCTACGAACCCTGCGACCTCGGTTCGCTTCTAGACCACGGATAACATCAGTGGCAGGTGATGACAGAATCCGTCAAGGAGGTTCCCCTAAGTCGACTCAACCTCAAACGAGTACCTGGTGCGGTATGTAAACCAGCTCTGGTGATGGTGGCCACACCACTCCCTCGAGCGCTGTCCAGGCCTGAATGGGTGCTCGCCAAAAGCACTTGCCCCAAAAGTCTGTGTAGGCTATACAGTGGCCTTTATCTCTTTCTGTTTGTGTGTGTGTGTCAATGAACGAATATCAAAGACAACGATCCTCCGTACAGACTTAGCGAGCACCTATTAAGTTCGAACGGCGTACGAACGGGATGGTTTGGTCATCATAACGCCCGACCGCATTCCCAATGCTGATGTTTGACACACCGGACCAGTCGAGCCCAGGGCCCCTGGTTCAATCACTCACCGCTGCTGTCACAGGCATGGCCAAGAAGGACTCGAACTCGCTCGCTGGGCTCGTTGGCACACATTGCTCTTGTGACCAAGAGGCGGCTTCCGCTCATTGGCCCACGGGTCGGTGCCGTCAGCCTCTATCCACTGCTGATGTGTTAGATGAGTGTCTGCTAATTAAACCCGTTACTTGCTGCGTGATGGGTGGGGAAAGGAGGTTCGTTTAATCCCTGCACTCTGTTAATTCAATAATTGCCTCCGATTAATCACAACGCTTCATCCACCGTAGCTGCTAAACCATCGTGAACCCGTCTTAAACAGCAGTAAAATATGTTTTGTTTTCTTCTTAGAACACTTATTATATCATCATAATTGTCTTCCAACGCGTCTGACCAGCGTAGAAGAGTCGACCGCACTACCCGATCGAGATCATTCCTTGCTGGAGGAAGACTCCTTCAGCCAGCAGGCGCTTGAGCGAGCACTTGCAGGGCTGCGCTTACACCTCCACTGCGTGTAATGTCCAGGAGCAGGTTCGCCGTTATTGGGCTACTCGAGCACGGATGGAGATGGAGGCAGGTGGAGATGGAGCCAGCTGGAGGCGGATTAGGTGGAGGCGGATGAGGTGGAGATGGAGGCAGGTGGAGATGTACCAGGTGGAGATGAGCCAGGAGTAGATGGGCCAGGAGGAACCGAGAGAAGCGCTGGATAAAGTGGAGCTGGAGCCAGGTCAAGGAGAGGGTCTGGTAAAGGTGGATCTGGTTCAGCTGGAGCTGGATCAGCTGGACCTGGATCGGCCGGAGCTGGATCAGCTGGATCCGCTGGAGCTGGATCACGTGGAGCTGGATCGAGGGCCGGGTTCAGGTGAGATCCCCGCTCGTCACACGGCCGTGGGTTTCCCGGCTGCGGGTCAGGGAGGTGGAGGGGGGGGTCACAGCGGCGGCGTGAGCGGAGCCTCTCCCACGCGCGCCTTCACTGAGCACGCAGGGAAGCTCCTCGGAGTCTCAAGACTCCTTGTCACGAGGGTGCTGCTACGTTGGAATGATTGGCCAATGCCATTGTTTAACAATGAGGATTGCTTTGATTCGTGTCGGAGGAAAACCGGAATGCCAGGAGAGAAGCAACCGCCTACGCGAGGGGTGTCTCACTCAAGGTTCGATATTATTGCTGCTGCTGCATTGGCAGTGGTGCACTAACGACACATCAACACGCTCATCAATAACGCTCTATGTGCGGCCTGGAAAATAAAAACATTGGGTACGTTTCGGCCAATTACTCTCTTTCATAGAGGAGCCAGGAGAGGGTCAGGGCGGACGATACGAGTTGTGGATTGCGTGGGTTTAAACCGTTGGGCCTGGTGATGCTCATGAGAATGACATCTTAAACAATGTTTTCTGATGAAGTCAGTTTTTTTTTACTGCCACGTGAATAGTTACACTAATAGTGGCTGTTGGGTAACAGACAAACCCTTCACTAATCGCAAACGTATGACGAGATGCACTCAGTCATATCAAAAGTAAAATGTCCACCGCGAGGCGCTCCGGGCCTTCAGCTGTGCTGCCACCTCGCGGCCTCGCAGCTGCGGGTCGCAGGGACGCAGCGCGGTTCTGGCAGCTTCGCTCATCGCTCTCGTAGAGAGACGGAGCGCGAGAGGGGACGACTCGGAGGCGCCGGGAGGAGGCACCACAGGCGAGGAGCGGAAAGGCAGCAGCAGCGTCGGCCACGCGGTGAGGAGCCGGCGTTACCAGCAATCGCCCAAGGTCTGCCAACTAATGAGTGGTTTACATGTCGGAGGAAACCCACGCGTGCGAGGGGGAAACACTCTATCCCGTGCAGATGGAACAGGCAGAGTCCACATGTTTGCTGTTCCGCCTTCTGAGGAGCCAGGGGACGGCACCTGCTGGAAGGGAGCGCCACAAGATCTCTGTGCGACCCACCAACCCGTGACTTCAAAGGAAGACGAATGAGCAGACGATGGGAGCCTCGGGGTGAGTGTGGGGATGTGGGGTGGACAGCGATGGAGGTGGCCGTGGAGGATGCTGGAGGGGTGACGACAGTAGGTGTGAGGTGCGTGTGAGGTGGGTGAGAGGTGGCGATGATTGGTGGTGAGGGTTGGTGAGGCAATTGTAGGGGAGTGATGGGAGAGCGCGAGGAAAAAGGGTGAGTTTGGGTGAGGAGGATGATGACAGGGGGTGGTGAGCGGTTGGTGAGGTTAGTGGTGGGTGGTGTCGATGGGGGATTGCGAGTGGTTCGAAAGGTGGGTGGAGCAGCAGATCCATGCATGCTCCATGAGGCAAGGTGAGTAGCCGGTGAGTAGCCGGTGAGGGGCTGGTGAGGGGCTGGTGAGGCTATGGAGGGGACCACCTCTCGCGCGGCTGTAGCAGGTGGCGCAGTGCAGCCTCGCGCCCCGAATGCGAACGTCCGCTCCCGTCCCCGCTCCCGCCGCGCTCGCAGCCAGCGCCCGGCCACAGACGCCGCACTGGCGGAGGGGGGCGGGGGGAGGAGGGGTGGGGGTTGGCGTGGGGGTCATTCGCGAGGCATGTAACGCCACCACCCTCGTCCCTGTGGTCCAAGTTGGTGGCGGGTTTCATGGAGGAGGTGTTGGGGCGATCGGGGGGGGGGGGGGGCTGATCCCCACCAATTGAGTGGAGTTATTTTTACTATCGAGCAATAACTGGAGACCAATGACTGTGGACCCAACGACTTTCGTTACATGCCGAGCGCGTGTTAGTTCACATGGAATGAGACGCGCGCGTGCAAGAGGCGCAATGGGTGGGTTGAGTAGGGGTGGGGGGGGGTGATGTAAGTGTGCCGATGTGCCCCCCCCTTCCTCTCCAGGGGGGAGGCGGGACCCCCACCTTGAAGCACTCCATGTGGTAGTAGAGACCCACGGACTCAACGATCATCGCGGCGCCTTTCCCCAGGGGGCACCCACACGCCGTGCACAGCTTCCTGCCGCTCACGGACCTGGGGGGCGTTGTGGGGGGCGAAGGTGGGGGGGGGGGGGGGTTAGGAGAGCGGCAGTGGCGGCGTGGAGAGGTTAGTCAGTGAGAGGGGTTTGTCGCCATCGTGCGGTGACCGCGTGAGGCTGCCACCTGACGCCGCTGGGATGCCGCGTGTCCCCTGAGACGCGGCACGAGCCACGTGTCTCTCTGCACCACGTGCCTCTCTGCACCACGTGCCTCTCTGCACCACGTGCCTCTCTGTGACGTAGAGTGCACGCGTCCCACGTGTCGCTGTGGCCTCACCTGCTGGGAGACGTCGGCGCTGACCCCCGCTCGGGGGGCGGGGTGGGGGTCGTGCCCGCCACTCCCCCCGGCATCGCCTTGAGTAGCACCGACTGCTGACAATCTTCGCCGCCCTCCGTGGCGCCCACCGCGACCTGCCCGGCGCCCCCCGGAGCCTCCTTCCACGTCCTCGTCTCTTCCTGCCACTTCCTCCTCCTCCTCTCCTCCTCCTCCTCCTCGAAGCTCATCACCTGCTCCTCCAGGGACCGCTTCTGCTCCTCGAACTGGCGTCGCAGCTCGTCCCTGTTGTGCTGCTCGGCGCACTCCATCTCCTCCTTCTCCGTCTTCTCCTTGGCTTCGTGAGCCCCCCCTCCCGCGTGAGGGGGGTCCCCCGCCACCTTGCCCCCCCCGTGAAGCGAGGACAATTTCCCGCGCGTCTCTATGTGGAACGCGGGGGGCTGGGCGCGGCTCTGCGGGGTCGGCGTCGACTTGGCAGTCGCGCCGGGAGGGGCGGCGAGCAGAGCGTGCGGGGTCAGGGGGACGATCGTCTCTGCCAGGATTCGCTTCTCCTGCGGGGCGGGTGAGTGGGGGGGACGATAGAGATGGGGGGGGCACGGGGGAGACATTGGAGGCGAATATATGAGAGACGAGAGAGTCAGGAGAACACGGGGGGGGGGAGCATGGTGATTGGGGATTGACACTTTCTGTTGGGTGAGATGGTCAAAATTCACTATGACCGTCCACCAACCGTTAGGGCCAATCAAACGAAGCTGTCAGGCGTGGGGGGGGGGGGGCAGTGGGTGGTGCCCGCGTGCGCGGCAGGAGGTGGTATGATCCGGGAACGTGGCGGCGAGCGTGGCCTCGTGAGCTACCTCCTCGTGGTACCTCCTCTCCTCCTCCTCCACCTCGCGCTGGGAGCGCTCCCACGCCTGGCGCAGCTTCTGCTGCTCCTGCTGGTAGCGCTCCTGCTCGCAGCACGCACAGCGCACGCGGCACACACGCAGCACACACCCAGTACATGCAGCACAGAGTACGCGCAGCACACACGCAGCACACACGCAGCACACACGCAGTACACACAGCACACACGCAGTACGCGCATCACACACGCAGTACGCGCATCACACACGCAGTACGCGCAGCACACACGCAGTACACACAGCACACACGCAGTAAACACAGCACGCACGCCCCGAACCCCATCGCCAGCTGCCAGGGTGTGGACCTCATCCGTAGCCCGTGGTGCCTCGCGGCTCCAGGTCGAGGAGACTACAGACTCCACCTCGGGGTTTGCAGTCCCGGGTGCCGCCTGCAAGTGGATGTATTGACGACTGGTTGATGATGCTGGTGGTGCTGGAAGTCACAAGACATATCTCTCTGCGTGATCCACCAACTCCTGCTTCCAACACACCACTGGATCACAGCGCTGTGGCACCTGAGACTTGAAAAACCCGGGGTGGAGTTTGTTAGCCTCCTCCACCTGGCGCCACGTGGGGCCCCCCGCCCCCGTACCTGGAGGTGCCTCTCCTGTTCCTGCTGCCAGCGCTCCTGCCGACTCCTCTCCGCCTCCAGGTCCCAGGTCCAATTGCCCATCCGCGCGACCGGCCCCTGGATTCCCTCAACAGGGGGCCCAGAGGAGAGATTTCACAAGAAGAAGAAGGGGATGGAAGGGGTGGCGAGGGGGGTTGAGAGGGGGGCAGACTCCATGAGACTCAGCAGCAAGTGGAGAGGTTCATACTGAGCGCGTATGCGAATCAACAATGGGGTAAATCGCCCGTGCGTGAACAATGTGTAGCAGGTATCTGCACGAGGGAGACAAAGGGGGCCGAGCGTGGGGTTTGACCAGCCAGCCCTGGTGCGCCGTGCCGGCCCTCATCGGTGCTCGCTTAATAGAACTTGCCCCGACAGCCTGTTAAAGGCTATACGGGGGATCTTTGTCTTTGTTGTGAGCGTGTCGCTATGTCGTGAGCTCCACGCGCCACCCGACTCACGTCTGCGCCGCCGACGCCGACTCCGCCACCTGCGGAGAGAGCAGAGCACAGGGGGGGGGGGGGGGAGCGTGGCGGCCTCGCGCTGGTGAACGGTGCAGGGGCGTGCGCGTGAACCATCCCCGTGGACGTGAGTGAGACGAAGAGGAGGAGAGCGATCGTGTGCCGACGTCGCGGTCCGCATTTTAATTGGGAAACTCGTGGCAATCATCTCCCCCCCCCCACCGCGAATACAGAGCAGGACCCTCCTGAAACAGAGCCTCAGGACTCTCCTGTGTGCGGGCAAGCGGACGGGTGGTGGGATGAGGCTCGTTGCGGGTGAATCTCCGCGCCTCCACACACCAGACACGTCTCTCGTGCTTGACAAGCTCGTCACGTGGCCGACAACAGTGCACCATGTGAGCGGGGCTGTCGAGGCATCACGAATGATCCCATGTCGCAATCCGGACCGTCCACTAAATGGCTTCCCGGCCACGAACTCGCAGCAGCGCGGGTCAAAGCAGGCAAACTGTGAACCGGTTTGTAGTCCATAGCCGCTGGCGGGTGGGGATACAAAGACGGCCAGGCGTGGCACTGGCTGGCCACCCACTACCCTCGTGTGCTCTTGCGGCATCGACAGGCGCCACGGTGGTCGTCGTCGAGGCTACACAGGAGGAGTGGGGGGGGGGGGCTGGGGGGGGACGTACCCGTCACGCCGGCTCCGCCGTCTCTCTGCCCCTTGGTCCCCAGTCCATTGGCTGGTCCAGCTTCGCGATACGGACTCTTCACAGACACAGGGACACAGAAACACTGACAGAGAGACACAGACACAGGGACACAGACATCCCGTCATCGTTGAAAAGGACTGTTGGGTCAAGTGCTTTCATTAGCGAGCACCTATGGAGGTCTGGCACGGCACACGAAGGGGTCAGTGACCGACACCGCGCCCGGCCACCTTTGTCTCCCCACTGCTGAAGTTTAACACACCGCACCAGGTACTCATTTTGAGGCTGAGTCTATCTAGCAGGACTGGAATCCGTGTCGCGGGTCTCGTAGCAAGGCAGCCAATCACCGCTCTAGCGCTGCCCCGCAGCCAACGGCGCCAGCGTTGAGCCCCGTCGTCGATCAGTGCCAGCATGCAAGCAGTGCAGCCGTGTCCTTGGTTACACAACGCCAATTAGCCGAGAGCAGTGAAGTGTCACAGTTGCTGTCGACCCCGCACGCGCGTCTCACCAGGGAGCCGAGCGCGCTCGCGGTGACCCCTCCCGCCGGCGGCATCCACATCCCAGCGGACGCCGCGGGGGTCGCGGGGGTCCGGGATTCGGGGCTCCGGGGCCCCGCGCTGCCCGCGCCGCCCGCGTCCGTCGCGGGGGGCGCCTCCCAGGGGGGGATCACGGCTCCCCGGGCGCCGTGAGTGGCCGCGCCCTGCCCCTTGGCCTCGTTCCCGTTCGGAGCCGAGCTCTCCTCCCCCGTCTGTAGGAGCGAGAGCGACAGAGGGAGCGTGCACGATCAAACCCAATCTCCCATGTATCCATTCGCTAATTCCATTCGTTGTTCATTCACCCATTCACTTATTGCACCATTTATTTATCCATACAATCATTAATTAGTCCACCCACTCATTCGTTCATTCACGACATTTCTTCAATTAACTTATGAATTCGCTCATTCAATAACTGACTAAATCTGTAATTCACGTATTAGACATTTCGTTCACTGAATCCTTCACCCTTTCATTCATGTAAGTATTAGCTCACGTATTCATCATCAGCATCACAATTGCTACCGAGTTGCCACTTTATAATGTGTGCAGTAAGGAGTAGCAGCAGTACGAGTCGGTGGGCTGCGTTGCTCGCAGTGGGAGCGGCCTGCACCTTGGGGTAGCGCAGCATGGCCTGCAGCTTCACGGGCTGTGCCCGGTAGGGACGCGGCGCGAACACGGGCAGGAGGCGCGCCGCAGAGGACGAGGCGGCGGCGGCGCGCGCGGCCGCGGACCCCGGAGACCCGGGACCGCCCGCGGGGGACCCCGCGGGGACCGGCGAAGCTGCGCTCCGCGTCCCTCGCGCCTCCGACGCCGCCTCGGCCGCCGCCACCGCCGCGTCCCCCGGGGCGGGGGCGCCCTTCGCGAACGAAGAGCGAGGAGGAGGCGTGGGCGCGTGCCCCGGAGTTGTCGAGGGCGACTCCGCGGCCGGCGCGGCGCCGCCTACGCGCGCCTCTCCCCCGGGCCAGCGGCTCGGGGGACCGCCGCCCGGGGGGGGGCACGGCTCGGAGCGTTGCCGTAGGAAGGGAACGCCCGGGCGCGGGGGCGCGTCGGGATGCGCGTCCCCGTGTGGGGGTGCCCCCGGCGTTCGGCCCGGCTGCTGTGGCTGCTGCGGCTGCTGCGGCTGCTGCGGCTGCTGGGGGTGCAGGAAGGCCGGCGCCTCGTAGCTCTCGCCCGCAAAGTCCTGCAGGAAGCGCTCCTGGTAGTGGCGCAGGATCTCCCGCGCCTCCTCCGCGGAGCGCGCTTGGCGGTACGCGTCCTGCAGCTCGCGCTCGCGCCGGGCCCTGCCGGGGAGGGGGGCGGGGGGGGGGGGGGGGGTGGAGGGGTGGGGGCGAGGGGGGGCAGGCAGGTGGGGGCATAGAGAGGGGTGCGTCATTAATATGAAGGCAGGAATGGGGGGACAGGTAGAGAGACAGACACAAGACGGGTAGGGAGATGGAGTTTGGCAGCAGGGAGAGGCACTGAGATATACGACGTGGATCAGAGGACACGGAAGGAAGGCGACACAGGGAGGGAGAGAGTACATAGACAGCAAGATGACGTCAAGGAGAGGGGTGAGACAGGGAGATGGGGAAGGAGGGGAGGGGAACAGAAGCTGGGAAAGGGGGCAGGCAGAGGGGGCTCTTGCTGCGAGTGTTGGTTGTGGTGTTGGCGTGCGTGGTGTTTGTGTTGCTCGTTGTGTTGCTGGTAGTGGCTCCTTGCAGCATCTCGCGGTCGGTGGTGTTTCTGATGGTGGTGGTTGTTGTGTGGTGGCGGTGGTGTTGCTGTGGTTGTTGTGAGTGGTGGTGGTGCCCCCACTTCTCCTGCAGCATCTCGCGGTAGGTTTTGATGCTGCGCAGGCGGCTGCTGCTCTCCCCGTCTCCTCCGCCCCGCTCGCGCTCATCCCGCTCCTCCTTGCGCTTGATCAGCTCCTGGGACAGGCTGCGCCTCCGGCTCTTCCAGCGGGCGAGGTCCTGGCCAGAGAACGGCGAGTGGGGGATCACGGTTGGAGCTCAGTGATGCATCACTTTCATAATCGTCATCACTTTGAATCATCATCCGCTTCCAACCACCACGAGCAGCATTATCGTCATCCACTCTCACCAGACCACAATCTTCTCATCATCATCATCATCAGACGCCACCATACTCACCATCATCACCATCACCACTACCTCCATATACGCTCATCACACCACTCACGACTTCATCAACACCACCACTCCACGATCACGTCACCACCATCTGCCAATCTCATCACAACGACCACCCGCTATTATCACCATCACCACCACCACCATATGCCAATTTCATCATCACAACCACCACCATCATCCACTCATACGACCACCATCACCACCACTCAAACGATGGCATCAGCACGATCCACCAATCTCATCCCCACCACCATCTGCCAATCTCATCACAACGACGGCGGCGGTGGTGGTGGTGGTGGCGAGGAGCATCACCTCCTGCCAGCGCTCCTGGTCCTCTCTCAGCATGGCGTGGACGCGCTGCAGTTCCTCGTGGTGCTGCCGGCTGTGCGGCTCGGGCCCCTCGCCCTGGTCCCCCTCGCTCATCCTCCTGCGGGGCACGACACTCGTCGTCGTCGTCATCGCACATGGGACTCACCCCGCTCGACCTTGAACGGGCTCTTGGGGCAAGTGCTGCTAGTGAGCACGCCGCCACAGCACACGACGGAGGTGGCCAGCACCACGTCCCAACGCCTTTGTCTCCCCAGTGCTGCAGTTTACACACCACACCGAGTACCCATTTTAAGGCTGAATCCACGTAGGGGAGGCTCAGGGACCGGTTTAAATATTCGTCACTGATGTTGGCCGTGAGCGAGAATCGAACTCGGGTGGCTGGGTTCGTAGCCCAGCGCGTTCGGACCACCCAGTGAGGACATTCTGCACTCACTCGTGACCGCCGCGCGTTGTTAGCGCACGCGTCGCGCGTTGAAACCCACAACAACAACCACGCGCATTCATGTCAGCAGTGCAAGTGTTAGCGACTCGTCGCGACCTCACACAACCGTGCTGGTAAAACACAACAACAACATCAACATCGCCATGGATTAGTTGACCCTTCAGGCAAATGGGCTGGCATGCCGACACAGAGACACTTAGAGACAGCTTAGTCTTCAAACCAGGTCATTGTTCAAGCCAGATCACTGTTCACGCCAAGTCACTGCTCAAAACCAGATCACCGTTCGGAACAGAAGCACTGCAAAACCCAGCCGAGACAGCGAACGTTGCGCGTCGCGTGCGAACGCAGATTTAGTGGCAAGGCATGCGGTGTGCGCGCACGCGCGCGCGTGAACCTCGCGTTAATCACTGAGATCACCACAGGGGTCGGGAGGTCGTGCTGCGAGGTTAGGACGAGCCATGCACCGCTCAGACTCCAGAGCTCACATCTCTTCGTAGAGCAGGAACTTCCAATCATCGGGGGAGCCTCCTCCCATCGCCGCTTGCATCTCCCTCTCCCACCCCGGAGGGATCTCGAGTCTCGGCAAGGCGACGCCTTTGCTCCACGCGGTGCCAATCAGAGCTCCTTTCGCGCTGCTCTCGGGCTCCGGGCGCGGTGCCTGCTGCTGCTGTTGCTGCTGCTGTTGCTGCTGTTGCTGCTGCTGTTGCTGCTGCTGTTGCTGCTGCTGCTGTTGCTGCGGCTGCTGTTGCTGCTGCTGTTGCTGAGAATAGGGCAGCGACTTCTTCTGCTGGGAAGCTGCAGGAACCCCTGCAGGAGCGGCCGCCTGAGTCCCCGTGTCACGGGGCACTGGCACCGCCGCCGCTTCCTCCTCGTCCGTTTCCTCCTTGACGATCTGGAGCTTCTGCCACCTGAGCAGATCCTTCTCGCTCATGGGCCCGGCGCTCACGAATGGTTTCTGCGGGGTCGTGCTCGGCGCGCTGTGAGGCTGGGGATGGGCGGGCCGCGTCGTCTGCGCCGGCTCCGGGGAGGCGGCGGCGCGTCCCTCGACCTCCGCGTCGCCCTCCTCTCCTCTCCCGATCTGAAGCTTCTGCCACCGCAGGAGATCCTTCTCGGTCATGCCGCCCCCCGTGCCCACGAACTTCCCCGTGGATGAGGAGGAGGAGGAGGCGGGCGCCCTGGGTTTGTCGCTCACAGTGGCGGAGCAGCCGCTTCTGCCCTCGTCTCTCTGCCCACTGCCTTCCTCCTGCTGCTGCTCCTCCTCCTCTCTGGAGATCTGCAGGCGCTGCCACTTGAGCAGATCCTTCTCGGTCATGGCGCCCGCGCTCACGAACTGCGCGTGGTGCGCTCCCGTGCCGCCGCTGGCCGGGCTCGCGGCCGCGTGCGGGTCCTTCTCGGGGCCGGGATCGGCGAGGGGCGCCCCCTTCTCGCCCTCCTGCCGGGAGATCTGCAGCCGCTGCCACCTGATCAGATCCTTCTCCGTCATGGGGCCCGACGGCACCTTGGGGTGCTGCCCTGGCGCTTTCTGCTGCTGCTGCTGCTGCAGCTGCTGCGGATGCTGCTGCTGCGGCTGCAGTTTGTGTGCAACCGGAGGCGCTGTCGCTGCAACTGGCTCATCCCCCGCGTGCTTCTTCGCCGCCTCCTCCACCTCCTCCTCGTCCTTCTCGCTCGTGATCCGCAATTTCTGCCACCGCTCCAGGTCCTTCTGCGACATGGCCCCCGCGCTGCTGACGTGCGAGTGCGGCCCCGAGGCCTTGCCGTGCGCTGCCTGCTTCTCCCCGCCCGCGCCCGCCTCCTCTTCCTCCTTCTCCACCTCCTCCCCACCGCGGCCGCCTTCGTCTCCCTCGTGGGCGATCTGAAGCTTCTGCCACCGCTCCAGGTCCTTGCGGGACATGGGCCCCGAGGAGAGGAGCTGCGGTTGGGGCCCGGAGCTCGGGGCCCGCGCCCGGCGCTTGGCCAGGTCGTCGCGCGTCGCCACCTCCGCGTCCACGACCTGAAGCGCGGCGGCGGCGGAGGCCGCGTCCCCTTGGCTGCCGAGTGGGACACGCGGCATCACTCACTCACCCTCACGCTGCCTCTCCACGCAGGTGTCTCCAGCGTGACGCGTGCCCCCTCTGTGACACACGTGCCCCTCTGTGACACACGTGCCCCTCTGTGACACACGTGTCTCCAGCGTGACGCGTGCCCCCTCTGTGACACACGTGCGCCCTCTGTGACACACGTGCCCCTCTGTGACACGTGTCTCCAGTGTGACGCGTGCCCCCTCTGTGACACACGTGCGCCCTCTGTGACACACGTGCCCCTCTGTGACACACATGTCTCCTCTGTGACACACGTGTTCCCTCTGTGACACACGTGCCCCCTCTGTGAGACACGTGCCCCTCTGTGACACACGTGTCTCCAGTGTGACACACGTGTTCCCTCTGTGACACACGTGCCCCGGTGTGACACACGTGCCCCTCTGTGACACACGTGTCTCCAGTGTGACACACGTGCGCCCCGGTGTGACACACGTGCGGCACCTGCTGACCTGGCCGCCTCTCCCGAAAACTGAAGGCGCTGCCAAGTGTGGAGGTCGGCGTCCGTGGCCCCCGCCTGGCACGCGTTGGGGGGGCCGTGCGGCCCGGGGCCTCCTCGGGCCACCTGCGCTTTGCGCCTGGCCAGGTCGTCTCTCTCGGGGTCTGGCCGCACCACGACTTTCCGGGGGCCCCCAGCTGGGGCCGGGGCCTGGGCTGGCGCGGCCGCGGGCTCCCCCTCGGGAGAGAGGCCTGGGGGGCCGCTGCCCCCCCCGTGAGAGGCGTCTCCCTCGGCGGCCCCTTCTTTGCCGCTGCGAGGTGGCGAGTGCAAGGACGGCAGAGAGATGTAAATAATCATGGTCACAGCACATCAAACAACGGTTATGAAAGGCTTATGTTGTTGATACGATTCGGAAGGATAAATAATGAAGTTGATCCCACGTGCAAAAAAAAGTAATCTTTATAAAAGGTCAATTAACAGCAACAGTGGATTACACAGCACCCCTGTGGTAGGAGCAGACAGTCGGCCTCAGATGGACATCACCAAAGACGAGAGAGGGCACAATGGGCTCCCCAGACTGATCATCATTCCAAAAAACATCAGCAGAGCGACCATGACTTAGAATCACCATCAGACAAGTGATGAGCCGAGAGGAACACCGACAACCCTGGCCACTGAAGGAGACCTTCTCCACCCATGTGCTGTCGCGACCATGGCGACTGCTCTCCCGAATGAGTGAAAGTGTCCGACCGTCAATTGTGGTCGACAACTTCCAGAGAACTCTCCCCACCGATGTTCTCAGCTGCCGTACCTCTGGCGGTGAGAGTATGCGGTCTCTTCCCTGCTCCCTCACCTCACCACTCCCACACCTCACCACTCCCTCACCTCACCACTCCCTCACCTCACCGCTCCCTCACCTCACCACTCCCTCACCTCACCACTCCCTCACCTCACCACTCCCTCACCTCACCACTCCCACACCTCACCACTCCCTCACCTCACCACTCCCTCACCTCATCGCTCCCTCACCTCACCACTCCCTCACCTCACCACTCCCTCACCTCACCGCTCCCTCACCTCACCACTCCCTCACCTCACCGCTCCCTCACCTCACCACTCTCTCACCTCACCACTCCCTCACCTCACCACTCCCTCACCTCACCACTCCCTCACCTCACCACTCCCTCATCTCACCGCTCCCTCACCTCACCACTCCCGCACCTCATCGCTCCCTCACCACTCCCTCACCTCACCGCTCCCTCACCTGCACCTCACCGATGTGCAACCCGACCCGGCGCGTTAGCGCCCCATTATCCCTCCAAGGTCGATGAATGAGTACCACTGCACTACACTGCCCCTGCGCTACCACTGCACTACACTGCACTACACTACCACTGCACTACACTACCACTGCACTACACTGCACTACACTACCACTGCACTACACTGCACTACACTGCACTACACTGCCCCTGCGCTGCCCCTGCGCTGCCCCTGCGCCGCGCGGGGCGGACCTGCGCTGCAGCTGCAGCTGCTGGATGGCGTGCTCGCGCAGGCGACGCGACGCCTGCAGCATGTCGTCCCAGCGGCGCGCGTCCTCGGGGCACGAGGAGGCCGGCACGAAGCGGGCGGGCGGCACGGCGGGGGCCCCGTGCGCCGCGTCGTGCCGCTGCGCGCGCCGCGAGACGAGGTCGTCCTTGCGCACGTCCGGCAGGGCCCGTCTCCTCCGCTGGCCGCCCCCGCCGCTGCCGTCGACGCGCTCCCCCGCCAACTCCCCCTCGTCCCCCTCGTCATCATCAGAGTCCCACTGCCAGGGAGCTTCCTCGGCTCCTCCTGCTGCTGCTGCTGCTCCTCCTGCTGCTGCTGCTCCTGCTGCTGCCGGATGGCCCCCCGCGCTGGATGAGCGGTCCACAAGGCATGGCCGCGGGGGTGAGCGTGTGAGGTTAAGAGAGGCCGAGTGGCACGCCATTTGTCTCACGCGTGCGGCAACAACAATAATGATGATGACGATGTCGACTCGCAATGCCGCACCGCCGCCGGACAGTCTCCGCTCCCTCTCGACAAGAGAGAGAGAGGAGACGGCTCAGAGGCACGAGGAGGAGGAACCACAGACGAGCGGGAAAGCAGTCGCAGTCACGCGGCGAACGGCCAGCGCCAAATTCCTCTCTGCCCTCCAAGCTCTGCTGTCCTCTATATATGAAGGCGTCATCGGCCAATTAATGAGTGTCTATACACGTGTGAGGAACCCGGAGCACGCGGACAAAACCCACGAATGTGAGGGGGCAGCACTCTATCCCCGTACAGATGGAACAGATGGAGATGATCCACTTGCTGTACCGCCTTCTCCTGGTCAGCCAGGGTACGGCTCCTCCACGGAACGGTGCTGTATTTACAGGCCACGTGCCCAGCCACTGCTGCCCAATATCATAGTTCATAGAGCGAGAGACGGGGAGCGGGTGCGTTGGATGAGGCACGGAAATTCAAACCTCTATAAAACCAAGCTCATTACTCAGGGGTTGGAAGTAATTGTTGTATTTTGCTACGAACCCGGCGACCTGGGTTCAATTCCCGGGCACAGCTAATGCAAGTGACAAGATTGATCTGAACCGGTCCTATTCCACCCAAAACTATGTTCGCTAAAGCGCACTGACCAGCGTGGTGAAGTATGGTCAAACCACCCCCATGACTGACACGGCGTGGGGTGGCCTTCATTCAGCAGTGAATTTAAACATAAATAACACGTGGAAATTACCGTGGCTCTATGCACCAAGAGACTCTCACAACTATGGGGGCCCTGATGGGGGTGGGGAGGGTGGGGGGCGGCGACACCACCGGCGGGAATCATCATCAGCAGCAGCCGCAGCAGCATCGTTCATCAGGGGTCGCGCATGCATCAGAGCTCGCGCATGCATCAGGGGTCGCGCATGCAGCATCACAGCGCACGGGGCTCGGGTCGGGAGACTCCGCGGTGAGCATCCCCCTGATGGCCGGAAATAGAGCAGAGCAGCCAATCAAAAGCCGAGTCGTGTTCGAGCGATCTCTCCACCCAACTTGTCTCCTCGTGTTGGTAGCGATGGTGCACAAACAACATCGACACTAAGACGTCCGTCAATAACAACACTGCGTTTGCCGTTAATCTGGGTAAATATAACAGGCGACGTTTCGGGCAATGGCCCTTCTCAATAGCGACATTCCTCACCACAAAACCTATCCGTCCCCTTGTCCCCACGTGTGTGGTTATGTCGCGCCCAGGGACACCCTCCCCCCTTCACTGCCCTCTCTGGACCCCGGCACCGACAGCCGGCAGCCCCCTGTGTGTGTGTCTTGAGAGTGAATGCTCGCGGTGGTGCCTCCACGTCGAATCATCTCGATAGCTGCGCTCGCGACGCAATGGATCGATTCGTGCGCGTGTCTCGGACGCAGCGGGTTCACGTGACCACCGCTGCCGATATCCAACACAGCGTAAAGCAACATACCTATGACGCAATCAAACTGCCCCCCCCCCCAACCCCTAAATTCGGCCTAATCACCGTCTTGTTAGAACTGAAACGCGACCAGGTGCGGTCGCGTTTTGTTCCAGCTGCAGCGCGGGGCTGCCGCCGTCGCCGCCGCGCATGCGCCGACCGTCGCACTGAGGTCGCAGAGGTGACGGGAGGAGCGCGAGGTCAGCAGAGGTCAGGAGGTCACGCCCGGAACCCGTCGTCGCGCGCGGCGCCACGGCACTCGAGACAAATCCCACCACACCGTGCAGCAGCAGTACCACGTGCAGCAGCAGCAGCACCACGTGCAGCAGCAGCAGCATGAGCAGCAGCAGCAGGAGCAGCAGCACCACGTGCAGCAGCAGCAGCAGGAGGAGCAGCAGCACCACGTGCAGCAGCAGCAGCACCACGTGCAGCAGCAGCAGCATGAGCAGCAGCAGCATGAGCAGCAGCACCACGTGCAGCAGTACCACGTGCAGCAGCAGCAGTACCACGTGCAGCAGCAGCATGAGCAGCAGCAGCAGTACCACGTGCAGCAGCAGCAGCACCACGTGCAGCAGCAGCAGCACCACGTGCAGCAGCAGCAGCAGGGGGAGCAGCAGCACCACGTGCAGCAGCACCACGTGCAGCAGCAGCAGCAGCATGAGCAGCAGCAGCAGCAGCAGGGGGAGCAGCAGTACCACGTGCAGCAGCACCACGTGCAGCAGTACCACGTGCAGCAGCAGCAGCAGGAGGAGCAGCAGCAGCGAGCGCGGAACACGAGGCAGAGGCGACGCCGCGAGGCGTTTTCCAGCTGATGTTTTTATTTCTTAAAGCGACGTCGGTTGTCTGAGCGCTACGAACAGACGCGCCCTAAGATGACGACGTCGCCACCTCCTCCAGAAGGTGGTGGTGGTCGTGGTGGTGGTCGTGGTGGTGGTGGCGGTGGTGATGGTGGTGGCGGTGTTCTGGCCACAAACGTCGATGTTGCTGATGTCCCACTTCACCTTGACACATGCGTGAATATTTGATAAGTATCCTCGTCTGTGTGTGTATATATTAGTACAATAGTCACCCCATGTATTGGTTTCATGTCAATGTGTGTGTCGCATGGGTTTGTAATTTTGTGCTGTTATCCGAGTTGAGCTGCAGGGAATGTTTTTCCTCACGTGATGCAGTCGTCTTTGTTCTGGTTTTTGTATTCGCTTTGCTTTTTGTCAATTTGGTGACCCAAATCACTCTTGCAAACGAGACTCGCCCTGGTCTCTCGACATTTCAGGCGGCAAACCAAAGCGAACTTGAAACTTGAAACTTTACAGCGACGTTTGCGACGAATAACAAGGCCAGCTGGAAAACGCCATCATCGTCATCATGCAGGGAGGCAGCGGTCGCCACGGCCACCACCACGCAGACAGTCGCATGCCCGAGCGCCGATCCTGACCTCGTCGCTCCTCCGGGCGTCGGGGTCACGCTCCCGGTGCCGCCGCAGAAGGGCCCCACGGTGCGGGGACCGGCGTGGGGCAGCGCCACGGGCCCCGTGTACCCGCGGCTCCTCCCGGCCACGTGCAGAGCGCGCACCGCCAGGTCGTCACGTTCCAGGTCCGGGTCTCGAACCTCGCCCTCCGACTCGGAGCCGCTTTCGCACGCGGGCGCCAGCCGCCAGTCCCCGCTAACCCCCGGGGAAGGAGGCCCCACACCGGCCCCCACCCTCGCCCCCGGCGCTCCGGGTCTGTGCGTGAGCGCGGCGGGGCGGGCAGACGCGGGGGAGCGGTCACTCGGATAGCCGCGAGCCCCTGCGGCTCATGCACCGCGTTCACGGCCATGGCGAGGTCACCACGGCCAACGTCGCCGACGCCAATCGCACCTCGCCGCGGCCTCCTTCCTTCTGCTAGATCCCCTCAGCTGCTTCAGTGACCACACTCGCCCTCCGATGATGCCCCAGCCTCATCCCGTGCCGACCCGAGGCCGTGTTGCACACTCGTCAAGTCCTTCAAGGAGCCCCCCGACAGACGGCGCTGCACCCCGTGGCCTCGGGGCTTCCCCTCGACCGCTCGCCTCCAGATGCGCCGCACACGCGACCCACCACAACTCCCTCATCACAACTCCCTCCCTCCCTCTCTCACCACATTATACGCCGAGCCTCCACCTTGTTTCCCCACTCCAGCTACGGTATTCGAATTCCCGTGATCGACCGCGACCGTGGCCCTACCTGGGCCCCGGCGGGCGAGGGCCGCAGGCCAGGGGGAAGGTGGCCGCCACTCACCTCTCGGGCTGCCGCGTCGCCTCCTCCGGCCTCACGTCCGCGCGCTTGCGGCGCAGCGGCGCGGGGATGTGCGCGGGTTGCCCTGGAGGCGCCGACTGCTGCTGCTGCTGCCCCGCGGGCTGACTCTGGGTCTGTTTGCCCGGGAGGAACTGGTTGAAGGGCAAGGCTGGTCGCGGCTCGGAGCCCAAGGAGGAGCGCCTGGCAGACATGTCGTCGTCGTCGTCGCCCCACCGGGCCGCGTCGGGTCTCGCTGACGCCGCGGGGGCGCTCGGCGCCTGGTGGCCGGGGACCGCGGGCGAGGGGCTCCGCTCGCAGCCGTAGGAGCGGCCGCGAGCGTGCGACGCCGCGGGGGGTCGTGGGGAGCCCGGGGACTCCGGGTCGCGGTGGAGCCCCGGTGGGGGGCGGGTGACGCTCGGGTCCTGCGCGAGGGGAGGGAGTGAGGGGGAGGAGCGCGCGCCGGAGCGTCACGGCTCAGGTGGGCGGCAGGAGCGCGAGAAAGTCTCGGGCAGGTGTGCGTGACGGTGTGAGCCGGTATATGTTCGTTTACGTTCTTTCGCACCGTACGTAGCCAACCGTGCTAATCGAAGGTGCGGGGGAAGGACCACAAACTAAACACAAACAGCAGGTGTCAGGGTGTCACACAGGTGTGTGTACAGTGCCACACAGGTGTGTGTGTACAGTGTGACAGGTGTGTGGGGTGTAACACAGGTGTGTGGGGACACGCGCATTCCTCGCCCGCGTGGCACACGTCGCGCGTCACGTGACAACACAACTCGTCGTCGCGAGTGTCACGTGGGGCCGCTCGGTGTCATCTCAACAGCAGCCGCGCGGTCCGCACACCTCGCAGAGCTGAGCGCGAACCAATTACCCCCCTCACCCTTCCACCCCCCCCCCAAAGTGTCCCCTATCCCCCGCGTCCCTCCCCCCCTACACACTGACCCCCACCCCTCTCTCGCCACTCAACTCTTACATCTCGTGGGGAGTTGAAGTCGCTCCTTCCCGCGTCACCTGTAACGAGCACAGATGCGCGGAAGAAGGTGGGGGTCGGGTGGGGGGCGCCTCTTGTGAGGGGTCCGTCCGGCGTCCGCCCGGGGCTCGGGTTTGCTCCATGGGAACGCGGCCACGCAGCGAGTCTAAATGCAGCGGCACGCTAAGCATAGCCACGCGGCGGCGGCACCCAGCACCCCCCCCCCTCTCTAGCTCCCGTTACTCCTCCTCCTCTTCTCCCCCCCACCTCCTCTCTCCCCCCACTCCAACCCCCCCCCCCCCTCCCCCAGACACACGTCCAGAACGCTTATCAGGCCGTGTCCCGCATTTAGAAAGCCGACAATCCTCGGCTAATCGCGCGCTCCGAGTGAGTTCCACGCGCAGCCCCTCCCCTCTCCCTCTCGGCCCTTCACGGTCCACGGCACTGCGACGAATCCCGACGGCTCGCCGCCTCTGACGGAGCGCGGTTAACGGGAGTGCGCGGGTTGTCGCATTTAAAAGGTCGAACAGTGTGGAGCTTCGCGTGTCTCCCCGTGCGTTTTCTCGGGGTTCCTCCCGCACGAAGCCAGACCCTGACTCGTCGAGTTGGCCACACATCCTAGTGACGCAGGACTCTCTCGACTAAACGAGTCTCGAGACTAATGGATTGGAGGACTTAGGGAGGGGAGCGGTGGCACAGTGGTTAGCGCACTACACTGCGTACACGCTTATCCGAGTTCGAGTCGCGTCCACGGCTGACATCAGTGGTGAGTGATATCTGAATAGTCGTGGGCTTCCCACTCGCTTCACGCCCCGCACAGAGCCAGCGCGAAGTGCAAACCAGCGGCCCCCGAGGAGCGAGGCGGCGTGGGGCGGCCTTCATCCAGCAGCGAATACACGAGGGGACGCGCGAAGGGGACGCGCGGCGCGTACCTCGCCCAGAGCCCCCGTGAGGACCCCTGTGAAGACCCCCTCGTCGAGACGGGGGACACCGCTGACGCTCTCGGATGCTCTTCCCAGGCAGTAGATGGTGGTCAGCACCTGCGGGCGGAGGGGCGGGCGTGAGAGGGGGGCTCGGGGGGCTCTGGGGGGGGGTGCTTTGAAGATTGGGGGGCCCCTGCGAGGAGTCCCCCGACGTGCCGCGTCATCGCCAGCCGCGCCGCACGCCGCGTCACGGGGCCGTGACCAGTGCCGTGAAGATCTGCGGCCTCTGTCACCCGCGCGGTCACCTTCGGTTGTCCACCAAGGCCCTCTCTTCCCCCCTCCCGTCACCCTCATCCGCAGCGCGACTACAGCCTCGTCCGCCGCTGCGTCCGCTCTACACCGACGTTGAAGAAATGACGAAGGGCTCGCCTCGTTCTTAAAGGGCCACGTGTCAACGTGCGCAGCGCGCCGTGACACGATCCTTAAAGCAACTTCCATCAAGATTGACAGCCACCTCAGTGACGTCTCTACTGAGCCGTGAGAGAGGCGAAGCCTCGCGCATGGCGGGTGGGGGGTGCAGACACTCACATTCCTCAGCCTCCTCTCTTCCTCCTCCTCTTCCTGATCCTCTTCCCTGCGAATTGCAACCACGCACGCACACAACAGCGGCGGTGGCCGTCAGTGGCGACGAACCACACGCAAAGCTCGACTCCAGGTCCCGCCGCGGCCACGTGAGTGAGCGGCGTGGGTAGCCCCGAACGAGGAGACCGATCGTCCACCCCCCCCCCCCCCAGGCATCGGGGCGTGGGGGGGGGTGTGGGGGGGGTGGATGGGGGGACGGGGGGGTCGGAGTGATGGACACTCGCGCGTGTTACTCGCAACCAGTGGGGAGTGTGAGCGGTGACATCCCCCTCCACGTCGACCTCCCCCACCCCAACATCCTCCACTTGCCCCCCCCCAGCCCCCGGCCTAGCCCCCACCCTCATACCGTGTCACGGCGAGAGCCCATTACAGAAGCTGTGCGTCAACCGGGCGAGACGAGGTTCGGAATGCGAGCCAAACGCGGGAAGGTGGAGATCGCCGTTCGTCGACCTTCACTCTGCTGAACCCAGTTATGGCGACTGCTGGGTGGACGTCGGCGGGCCCACGGTAGCTTCAGAAGCGTCGCTCCGTTGCTGTAGCTGCCTCGCCGAGAGATCGAGTCTCGCAGGGCGATATCGCTGGGTTTCCAGCCACGTGGGCTGCCAGCCACGTGGGCTGCTCACCACCCAAGCATCATCCCCGAATAAATAGAAACACAATTTATACCGCCACCTAAAATTAATGTTTGCTCTCCGCTCAGCTGTGCCCAATTCCGATGGCAGAAATACACACGGGGGGTGAGGGGAGGGGGAGCGGGGGGAGAGGGGAGGGGAGGCGGGGGGAGGGGGAGGCGTGGCGTGGGGGGCAGAGGGTGGGGGGCTCCATGAGGAACCCGCGTCACCAGAAACCGAGCACAAAATATGAATGAGCGTCGTCGTGGAGAGTGTGAGGAACAAAAGCAATAAGCACTCGTCCCTCCTTCGGCGTCGCAAACACTCAAGCGCTTTCTTTACACATCCCATCAGCCACGCGGCATCGTTGGGAGGACATCAATTCAGCAGCGTTGGTTCAACGCGAACAAAAAAACGTCGGACATCGATGCCGATCAGCACGCGGTACAAGAGAAACACGAGACAAAGATCTCCCTTATAGCCTTAACATACGTTTAGGGCAAGTGCTGTGAGCGAGCACCTATGAAGGCCGGCACGGAACACGAGGCGGTGGGTGGCCAGGTCCACGCCCGGCCGCCTTTGTCTCCCCAGTGGCAATATTTACACACCGCACTAGGTACTCATTTGAGTTTGAGTCGACCTGGGGGAGGCCAAATACCGGTTCCGTTAAACCTCATTGGTATTGGCCATGGGCTGCCATGGGAGGGAATCGTGGTGCAGCCTACTAACGACTGCGGCACCTCCCCCCGAGAGCTCGCACGGGAGAGCGAGAGGCGTGTGGTGACATTATTGTGGGGGGCAGCGGGAGGGTTGGGGGTAGGGGTTGTCGGTGGGGGTGCGGGAGGAGGAGCTGCCACCAGGAGCCACGGGTTCTGGGCGGCACCCTCCCCGCGGCTTGTGGGCTCAGCGCGGTGCGCGCGCGGAGTAATCACGACCGGTGCAGAATCATCATCATAAAAAATAGACAATTATTACTTTTAACTGGAAACTCTCGTACTGACAGAAGGGCCATGAGGAGGAGGAACCACAGGCGAGCTGTAAGGCAGCAGCAGCCACGTGATGAGCCGATGCCACCAACATTTGCTCAAGCTCCGCGGCCCTCTATAGATATATGAAGGTGTTATCATGTAAGTGAAGGTGTTATCATGTAAGTGAAGGTGTTATCATGTAAGTGAAGGTGTTATCATGTAAGTGAAGGTGTTATCATGTAAGTGATGAGCGTTCATCGGTGTGGGTGGAAGCCGGAGCAGCCGCAGAAAACCCCACGCGTGCGTGGCTGCAACATGATCCACCATCATCATCATTACCATCATCATGACCGTCATCTTCATCATCATCATTACCATCATCATCACCGTCATCTCCATAATCATCATTACCATCATCATCATCATCACCGTCATCTCCATCATCATCATGACTGTCATCATCTACATCACTCGACACAGCTGCGGGAGAATTATCTTCCTCTGTACTGCCACTCACCACATCTCCCCCTCCCCCAACACCACCTCGTCATCTCGTGTGCGCTAATTGGGCCCAGCCATTAACATTCCAGCGCGCGCGGACGGATGATGACAGTGGCTGGAGTCGAGCCAGCGCCGCCGAGTAAACTCGAGCGCGTGGAAAGCGGCGGAGAGGGAAAGAGATGGAAGGAGAGGTGAGAGCGGCAGAGAGGAGCGGATGAGCGAGGAGCGGATGAGCGAGGAGCAGACGAGATAAGAGAAGCGCAGAGGGAAGCCGGGAGGAGACGCGACGTGGTACATGGGACCACGTGACTGTGTTCCCTCGTCCAGGGCATGGGTCAACTCCAGCCTTTGGGTCAACCCAGACGCGGGGCTCTGACTCTGACGTGCCCGCCAATGCCACAGATTGTCGCGTGTATTCTCAACATCCCCATCTATTGTATATCCACTCCACAGTAGTCGCCCTGTCAGGCCCGTTCCATACTTTGGCTGCCATTCCGTCACTGGTCTCGTCCATCGGATATCATCAATTCTAGATTGTGTTTTCTGGCCAAGCAGTGTGTTTTAAATGGCCAGGAACACGCGTGCGCGTGTGTGTGTGTGTGTATTTTGGGGTGCACTTTGTTTTCGTGCGTGTGCCGGTGGCTGTTTCTATTTCTCTGCGTGAGCGCACAGCCTCGAACTGGCGCTCCCGGAGCGACGCGGACAGGTGTCTCGCTCCGCGTGTCCTGGGGCACTCCGAGTGCTTCTCCACCCCCGGACCGCGCGGTCCCTCCCTCATTCAGCTCCCTTGTTAAAAGCTAAATCGATGACACGGCGCTGGATAAAGACATTATTAGAATTCTTAACAACTCAAAACGATCATTAGCGAGGTTGCGGAGAATAGCAGGAACTCTGCTGATTAGACACTGTGTGTCTAAATCAGTCCAGAGTTTTCCTGTCAAACCCCTCGAAAAGCGTGGGTTTTATCCGGGTGCTCCGGTTTCCTACCACATGCTTTGTAGAAAACATATTAACATAGAGAGGACCGCAGAGCTCGGGCAAGTGTTGCTCGTGCCGACTGCTACTGCTGCCTCCCCGCTCGTCTGTGGTTCCTGCCCTTTCCATCCCTCTCACTTCGAGAGCGAATGAACACTGCGGTGGCGGCGCGTCACGGCCCGGTGTGGGCGGCGTGTGCCTCCCCTAGGTCGGCTCGGCCTGAACGTTACGCGGGCGCGCGCGGCGGTGGCTGTCGGTCGCTGGCGAACAGCCACGCAGTGTTCGGCGCGGGGTGGCGACGTGACGGCTCGAGGTGAGGGTGGAGGGGCGCTCAGTGCGGCCTGGGTCCGTGGCAGGGGCCGGTGGAAAAGTCCCCCCCACCCGCCCCCCATGCCCAGCACAGCCCCCCAGCTTGTGCCATTGTGCGGGCAGCCGCGCGATTGGCGTGGGGTGAGGGGACGAGCTCCAGGGGAGGAGGCGGGAGAGAGGCGACATTGTGCGCGCCACGGCGCGCGTGACATCACCGGGGGAGGCGCGGATCCAACACAGCGAGCGCTTTAGAGGCATCAGTGGCAGTGGTGGTAGCGGTAGCAACAGTAACAGCAGCAGTAGCAACAACACCGGCAGCAGCAGCTGCAGAGGTCACCTACAGAGGCAGCAGCAGTAGCAACAACAACCCCAACAACACGACCGAAGCAAAGGGGGGGGAGTGGGTGAGCGGTCCCTAATGGGGAGCTTGTTAAACAGGGCACTTCATTAACAATACAAACAGCAACAACACAACCTCGTTCAACGTATTTTCTCTGGAAAGTATACACAACATTCTACTCATGTGTGAGGGGGGGGGGGGGTCTCAAGGGACTGCTGGCCCCGTCGCACCCCACCCCATCACCACCGCGCCCCTCCTCTGACCCCCACCTTGGACCCATCACTGACTCGGAGGGAAGAGAGAAGTTGGGATCACCGCGCTCAGCTCAATGCTGAGAGGGGGGGGGGGGGGGGGGGCTCGGGGCGTCGTGTTCTGGGGGTCGAGGGCAGCGGTGGTGAAGTGGTCAGCGCACAGCGCGACGGACCCGGCCACTTGGATTCAATTCCCGCTCACGACCAAATATGACCTCTTCACGACGGATATTTCAACCGGCACTTCGGCCGACTCCTCTATCTCGAGTAACTGAGTATTTGGAGTGCTGTGTAAACATCAGCACTGCGGAGACAAAGGTGGCCGGGCGTGGTGTTGCCCTCTCCCGTGCGCCGTGTCCGGCCTTCATAGAGGTGCTTGTCAAGAGCACTTGCCCCAACAGCATGTTCCAGGTTATACGCGGGATCTTTGTCTTTGGAGGACATCGTGAGTGGATGGTGGAGGTGGAGGGGCAGGACGGGCTGTGAGTCGGGGGTGAGGTGACAGGAGCGCCGCCGCGTGACCTCCTGACCTCGTAAAGTTGCGAGCGCGCGTGGCGTTTAGGGTGACCTACCGCTCACCACAGCCAGTGCCGTCGCTCCCTTCCCCATGCCAGATCACGCGGCCGTCCCACAGTCTCAGCCCGACCGCCGAGAACTGTTACAGTTACATCCCAATATCGCGCTTGAGGCCTGAGGACCGTGTTTCACAGCCAGCGTGGTCCTCCAAGGGTACAGACATAAAAGGTGCAAGCGCAGCCCTGCAAGTGCTGTGCTCACGCCACTGCAGGCGGCAGAAGTGTCCACAAGAGAGAACTGGAGAGGGCCCCTCTTGGAAGAGGTGGCAGTACCCAGGTGGCACCCCACCACTGACGGCTCGACAGAGGCGGCGGAGATGCAAGAACATCGCCCATTAATCAAACACGTCACTCTCATTCGTGGAATGCACGGCCAAACATTCCAATGTAGCAGAACCACAGTTTCATTCCTCAATAGATATTTTCCGGATCGCTGCTAGGCTTAATTCCGAGTATAGATTATGGCGTAAGGCACTACCACGAGAATACAAGGCATATGCCTATTCTATCTATTATTGTACTTCACCAGCAACATTCACTCGTGGCTACACCACGGGAAAGGGAGTAGCATCAAGGATGCAATTTAAAGGGAAAATACAACGTGGCAGGAATGAAGGGAGTAGAGAAGAAGAGAGAGAGCATGGCGACTCAGGGGAAATGGATGGGAAGGGAGAAACGGGAGCACAGGGGTCGGGAGAGACGAGGCATCGGGGCCTCGACGCTGCCATACAGAGGCGGAGCAGCGTCTGTTTTCACAGGGGGCGGGGTTAGAGGGGGGGTGTTCAGAGTGGGGTTGGCCACGCAGGAGCCACGTGACTGTACGGAAAACTGGTTGAGACGGAGAGATGGATATTGGTATGATTCTGCCAAGGGGCGTTGCGAGGAGAGGCCAAGGCGAGATGAAGGGCTGCTCAGCCAGAAGAGCTCCGGACTCTTCTGCCTGAGCAGAACACTCCTGGAAAAAGAGTCTCAGAGGCTCTTTGAGACGTTCCTCTGTTAATAGAAAGGTCACCCTCGATAATATAAATGAGGCATTCTCCTTGGCTGTGGGACGCAGTTATGTAATATGCCAGGGGGCAGTCGGGCAGGCGGGCGGCATGAGTGGCCTGTGTTTGCGTGGGAGCGACAGAGAGAGAGAGCGTGAGTACGTGAGAGAGAGAGAGTACGTGAGAGGGAGAGAGAGCGTGTGAAAGTGTGAGAGTGTCAGAGAAAGAGAGAGTGTGAGAGCGTGCTCAAGAGGTGCCTGAGTAATCGCACGCGAGGGAGTCCTCGTGTGTAGGTGGGGGGAGGAGGGGGTAGGGGGGGTCACGTACGTGAGGGGTTCGACGTTCAGGTCACAGCAGGGGTCAAACAGCTGGGAGCTCCGCACTCCGAGGCGTGCACAGCCGCTCCGGAACGCGCGGTGGAACCCCTGCGGGGGGAGGGGGTGAGGGGATGTGAGAGACGGGGAGTGGGGGTTGGTGGGCGACGAAGGTGAAGCAAGGAGAGGGGTGGGGGGTAGAGAGACGCGCACACACGCGGTGGCTCAGCCCCCCCCCCCCTCCCACGACCCTGCCCCCTCTCCGCCCTCCCCCCCAGCGCCAGTCGCTGGGGGGGGGGGGGGGCGGAGAGGCGCCGGGCCGATTGACCCCAACGCGCGCCTCGCCCGTGGGGATAACTTCTCTCTGACCCCAACCCCATCGCCCTGACACTTTACTTTTGGTGATCACAAAACTATGATGATTATGATTAGAATGATAATGTTACCGATGATGATGTCATTGACGTCGACGATGATGATATTCATGATGATGTTTCGTTTTTTGCCCTTTCCACGCACCTCCGATTAGCACAATTGGCTACGTACGGCGCGAAAGAAGTTCAACATACATACACGTTATTGCGTATGTCAATGGTGTTAATTTGAACGATGGGCATCATGTTCATGACGATGATGTTAATGATGTCGATGATATTAATGATAACGATGATGATGCTGTCCATGATGATGTTGGACCGACGGGAGCAGCTGTGCGTGGCGGAGCTCTCGAGCCGAGCGCGTGGAGTGCTCCGAGGCTCTTCAGGAGCCACTGAGCCCACCCCCCCGCCCCCCCGGCTCCTCCACCACGAGCACCACTCCACCAGCCCCACTCCCCCCATCCTCCACCCCCGCACAGATGCACACGTGCATACACACGCGCACACAAAGACAAAGATCCCCCCGTATAGCCTTAACAGACACCACGCACGGCCGCCTTTGTCTCCCTAGTGATGATGTTTACACATCGCACCAGATACTCATTTGAGGCTGAGTCGACCTAGGGGAGGCCCAGGACCGGTTCAAATAATCGTCACTGGTGATGGCCGTAATCGGGAATCGAACCCGGGTGGCATGTTTCATAGCACAGCGTGCTAACAGATAAACACAAATTGTCTCTCTCTCACACACACACAATAACACACACATACACACACTCTCTCTCACACACACAATAACACATTTTCTCTCACACACACAATAACACACACACATTCTCTCTCACACAATAACAAAGATCCCCCATATAGCCTTAGCAAACTGTAGGGGCAAGTGCTGTTAACGAGCACCTATAAAGGCCGGCACGGCACACGAGGGGGGTGAGTGGTCCACACCACGCCCGGCCGCCTTTGTCTTCCTAGTGGCGATGTTTACACATCGCACCAGGTACTCATTTGAGGCTGAGTCGACCTAGGGGAGGCCTAGGACCGGTTCAGATAATCCTCACTGATGTTGGCCACGAACAGGAATCGAACCCGGGTCACCAGGTTCGAAGCGCAGCGCGCTAATCGTGACACTACCGCCCCCCACTCAATAACACACACATTCTCTCTCACACACTAACACACACAATCACACACACATTGTCTCTCACACAGAATAACACACGTACATTCTCTCACACGCACACAATAACACATATTTTCTCTCACACACACACAATAACACACAATAACACAACATGCTCTCTCACACAATCACACACGCTATTTCTCACACACACAATCACACACACACGCGCTATTTCTCACACACAATAACACACACAATAACACACACACAATCACACACACACAATCACACACACACGCGCTATTTCTCACACACAATAACACACACAATAACACACACACAATAACACACAATAACACACACACAATCACACACACAATCACACACACACGCGCTATTTCTCACACACAATAACACACACACACAATCACACACACAATAACACACACACAATCACACACACACGCGCTATTTCTCACACACAATAACACACACAATAACACACACAATAACACACACAATAACACACACACAATCACACACACACGCGCTATTTCTCACACACAATAACACACACAATAACACACACACAATCACACACACACAATCACACACACACGCGCTATTTCTCACACACAATAACACACACAATAACACACACACAATAACACACACAATAACACACACACACAATCACACACACAATCACACACACACGCGCTATTTCTCACACACAATAACACACACACACAATCACACACACAATAACACACACAATCACACACACACGCGCTATTTCTCACACACAATAACACACACAATAACACACACACAATCACACACACACGCGCTATTTCTCACACACAATAACACACACAATAACACACACACAATCACACACACACGCGCTATTTCTCACACACAATCACACACACAATCACACACACGCGCTATTTCTCACACACAATAACACATACAATAACACACACACAATCACACACACAATCACACACACAATAACACACACAATCACACACACGCGCTATTTCTCACACACAATAACACATAGAATAACACACACACAATCACACACACAATAACACACACACAATAACACATACAATAACACACACACAATCACACACACAATCACACACAATAACACACACAATAACACACACACAATAACACACACACGCGCTATTTCTCACACACAATAACACACACAATAACACACACAATAACACACAATAACACACACACAATAACACACACGCGCTATTTCTGACACACAACACACACAATAACACACACACAATCACACACACAATAACACACACAATAACACACACACAATAACAAACACACAATCACACACACACAATAACACACACACAATCACACACACGCGCTATTTCTCACACACAATAACACATACAATAACACACACACAATCACACACACAATAACACACACAATAACACACACACAATCACACACACACGCTATTTCTCCCACACGCACTCTCACGCTCACTCAGCTATTACTCTCGGGCGAGAAAAATAGTACTGGTAGGAACCTCCTGGTTACACCAGCCCACAGGGGATTATTGTGTCCGTCCGTCCGTCGTGCATCCAAACATGGGAGGGGTGGGGCTGGGTGGAGAGGGGAGGGTGGGGAGGGGCTGGGTGGGGAGGGTGGGGAGGGTGGGGAGGGGCTGGGTGGGGAGGGTGGGGAGGGGCTGGGTGGGGAGGGTGCGGCTCGGTGGGGGGTGGGAGGGGTGGGGCTGGGTGGGGAGGGGCTGGTCACCCCGTGGTGCCCTTATAAAAGTCAACGTTTAACCTACTCACGCCCGCTTGTGCCCGCCCTCTCAGTCGGGCATATTTGCAGAATACACCACGCCGCCGTTGACCCTGGCCATTGACCGAGCAACCCAACGTCCCTACCAGCTCCCTCCGCAGGAATGTGTTTTCCACTAATTTTGGGAAACAAAATTGCCGGCATATAAATTAACGTTTTAATCACCTCACATTGATGTTAACATGTGTAACATCGGATATTATAAATCATGCAAACATATGGATTACGTAAACGCTTTCGATCCTACAATTGTCGTCGGGAGTGCTGAGCGATGATGACGTCAATGTGCAACAACCATTTGGCGCTGGTTCATTTGTTTTTGTCTTGCCAAGCGATGTGGATCCTCTGGTCGGTGCCAGGCGATGTGGATCCTCCCCCGGGTCTCTTCCAGGGTGGAGCTACCTCCCAGGAGCGCACCTCCAGGCTCAACGTGAGCTCCTATGGGGTCATCTTCACAAGCGTGCGCGTGGCCCCCGCCGCTCCCTCCACCCCCACCCCATGAGGCACGCACAGACGAACAGTTGTATTATTATTATTATTGTTTGTGAATGTGTCCATGATTTCGTATTAAATCTCTGCACAAAGAACGTCGAGAATATCTTGCCGCGTCATAGCCACATTGTGGCAGGGAGGAAGAGCCACAGACGAGCGGGAATTGCAGCAGCTACGGGATGAACCGGCGTCCCAAGCTCTGCAGTCCTCTACATGTCAAGGTGCTCTCTGCTAATAATGGATGTTTGCACGTGGGCAACACTCACGCGTGCGTGCGTGCATGGGGGGTAACGCTCGATCCCATACAGAAGGAGCAGGTGGATTCAACATGCTTGCTGTACTGCATTCTCCTGGCGAGACAGGCCCGGCACGGCTCCCGCTCGACGCCCATGGGGGAGAGTTCCACACACAACGTCTGTGCGTGGTCCACCAACCCGTCACTCTCGAACCACGCAGTCCATGCGGAGCGCCCACGTGGTGTCGCGCTCGCCTCTGTCTCGCGCCGTGACACAGAGGATCTATTCCGGTGACGTTGTGGGGGGCAGCGGGGGGAGGCGCGGAGGGAGGGGGCGTGGGGGGGGACTTCTCGGAAACGCTGGGATGCTTCGCTGTTGGGTGGCGGACCTGATCGCTCAGGAGCGTGCGTCAACATCGCTCGCGCCCTTAGTCAGAGTGAGCCCACGTGGCCTGGGCTCCTTCGGAGGAGGAGGAGGAACAGCGAGACGACACGAACTCTCTCTCAGGAATCCCTCTCGCCGTGGCCAGCAGCAGCGGACCTCACCATTGGCGTTCAGCTTTAGAGCCACATCGCTGTTGCTGCTACTGCTGCTCCCGCTGCCATCATGCTCACGAGTAGAAGAAAAATCGTGGCCTTAACGATTCTATCCACATTCGCGATTCCATCCGGGGGGCAAAGCTCCCCTCGGTTGCTCCCCCGGGCTGCTGCCGCGCAGCTCGGGGCTCGCCTCTCTGGCTGCTGCTGCTGCTTCTCGTCCTGGTGGGTAACGTTTTTGTTTGACACCGACAAATCTGACCCCCCCCCCCCTCCTATCCTCCTCCTATCCCCCGCCTCTCTCCCTTTATCTCCATACTTTACCATCATGACAACTTTCAGATTCGATTATTGTTGTGCGCGGCTCACATCAGATCCATGGGACCCATCGTAGCCTCCGCCCCCCGCCTCCCCCCCCCTCTTCACCAACGCACACTGAACTAGCGTGGTGAAGTATGGCCAGACAGCCAGGAATGGC